CCATCCATCTTCCTAGTAGATTCTAGTGGAGATAAACTTGGGTATTAAACATAGAATTTTTAGTTGTTTCTAAACATGCTGTTAAAATTTGAGATCATTTGCATGAGAATTGGTCAAGTTATTAGATTATGAAATGATATCAATATTTCTGAAATGCCCTGTATATCAAAATGAATATTTCTCTATATAAGCCAGCTATGTTAGACTGAATTTATTAAGTAACAAAAAATATATTATTTTGTAAGGATTACATTCTGCTATTTAAAATGAAATAAAACTTGAATTTTTCTGGAGACAGACAATGACAGAAACAGTTGATAAGTTTATGGGTAAAAATTTCAGTTTTACACATTTTTTTTCAGACAATCATCTTTTGCTTTTTTAAATATTTTTTTTAAATATTTTGTTTTAAACATTTCACTTATTTAAAATTTTTTTTGGCAGTTATTGACTTTCTTTTCGCCAGTATTGAAAAGAAAAAGTATTAAGTGACTTTTACAGACAACAGATAATATAGGAGTATACTCTGGAAAAACAAAGCTGAGCATAAGTTTTTCAAAAATTCTGTAGAATAATAAAAAAATATTTCATTTTATAATTTGTGTGTAATTAAACTTTCATTCTGTTTCAAGAAATAAAATTTTACAAAGATCATCAATGATTTGAAAAATACTAAAATTTTTCCATTGAGACTTAGAGATTTTCTTAATTTCCAATGTGAAATGTTAAATTGATAATCTGAATGGCAGTTTGTCTCCTAAAATCTTTAGAACTCTCCTCAGTATCTATGCAGACCCAAGTAATGCTATAGTTTGGCCAGTCTGTGTACCATTCCTTGAATTTTTAAGATGATCATCATCATTATCTGTTAACACTTCAACTGCTGTGGACATACTTGTAAGGCTTTATGAAACTTATATTGTCTGCTGTTGACATAGATATACATTGTCAAAACATCTTGAAATGTTAATCATTAGCATTTATATTATAAACTAACACTTAACTGCTATTTTCAAATCAGCTTAGACATACAGTAGCATACAATATCACATGCTTTGTGGCATATTTTTATTATATCCTGTGTTAGGGGTGGTGCTTAGCTTAGTCTGTACTGTAGAGCAGTGGCCCCCAAACATCAGGCTGTGATCTGGTTCTGGGCTGTGAAACAGAAAGAATAAAGTTTTTTTTTTTTTTTTTTTTTTTTTTTAATTTTATTGACTGTTGTGGTCCTGCTGATAATATTTTGTTATGCATGTGACCAACACTGACATAAAAGTTTGTGGAAAAATTGGCTTGTATGACATGTGGCAAAAAAGGTTGGTGATTGCTGCTGTAGAGTGTCCAATTGAAACCAAAATGGTGGCACCAATGAGAAATCGCCATTAGTGTCTTTATAATCCTTTATTACCAGAAAATAGCAATTTTCGATTTTTCTCAAAATTGGCCAGAACAGCCAGGCAACAATGCTATAAAAATGTAGTAGTGCCTTTTTTAATTAATCTGAATGTAACCATTTCTTTGTTTTAAAAAAAAAATCTTAATTTTAAAAATGTTCTCATATCCAATCCAATTATCAAGGGTAAATGTATAAGGATATGATGGTGACTTTTGCAATATACATTTGCTAATTTACAAATATAACTGACAATCTTTTTTTTTTTTTTTTTTTTTTTCAAAGCTGTGTTAGGAAAACCTAAGTGGACTTTAGCTATCTTAGGCATTTTTAATGTTTGCTGTAATAGAAATGTCTCTTGGTGGCCTAACATAATTTGTCTCTAGATGCTTTCTTTCTTGTATGTTCTGCTTTGGGCAGCTTTCGATTTAATTTTTGCTGGATGTTGATCTTTAGCAAATGCTTCTGAGTGATGCAGTTTTTTGCTATTTATGTTAATTTTAATGAAAGGCAATGGCTTTATTTAAAAAAAAACCCAAAACCCCCCCAAAAAAACGTACAAGTAGAGCCTAGACAAAGAGGAATATCATGTGACTTGATGATCACTGATGGTGTGAAATTGCCATTCACCATGCAATGTTGATTTCTATGTCTACCCTGTTCACATCTATAAACATGCTATTCCTGTTCACTCTTTCACATGTTCCAACAAACAAGGGAATGTTGGAATTAGCCAAAAACAGTTTCATATACAACAAAATTTTGCCATTCTCTCAGAGAAAACAGACAAAAAAAAAGTAAAATCCTTGACGGCGAATGTAGCAACATTTGAAATTTGGTGGGGATCAAAAATGAGCTTTCCGAGAGTTTACCAATTGTATAAAATGACTTATTTAAAAAACTTAAAACAATTGGACAGATAGAGCTTGTCGATATTGTTTAAAAAAAAACTTGTTTAAAAGAATTCTTGCTACCTAAATACGTGTGTCTGTCTATAGACAGCTAAACTATTGAATTGTTTCAAACTAAAATTTGGTAGACCTGCTTTTACTTTCAACTGTACAACAGAAGTGAGATTTCCCCAAGTTGTTATTGAAAAGAAAAAAATATTTTAACCAATATCTGATGCATTAAATTATTAGTCATATCAAGAGTTACTTCCCCTCACTTTTTCTTGAATTGCTGTGATCATCGTTTGTATTGCGATTGTATAGTTATATGCATTTGAACAGAGGCATGAAACATTGAATTTGGGGAAGTAATCACTCCCACATTTCAAATATTTCTTTTTTTTTTTCTTAAATAAGAAAATAAAAAACCAACATAGCTTTCTTGGTTCATCTTTGTAGTTCTACATATAATTGTGCATGCAAGACTTGTAGCTTTTTCTTTCATTTTTTTGTGCTTACTACATAAGTTTTTAAAATTTTTTTTAATCTTCTATCTCTTGCTTAAAATTTAATTGCATGTTACCATAAAACACTGTACAGTTTTGAATGTTTCAATCTTTGATTTGAGACTTCTTCTCACATGTTTTCCTTTTCAGTCTCTACTTTTGATCTTCTAATTTGTGGAGCAACATCCACCTCCACTAAAAAAAAAAAAATCAAATAAAAATAAAAAAGTTCTATTTTCATTATTTGTGAATCTCAACAGCCTAATAAATATACATCATTTTACTATTATGAGTATATGCTGAAGTCAAGAGTGGCAAAAGTTTCATGCTGAATGTAATCTTTGTCCTGAAGATTACATTCAAACATGAAACAGACTGTCGCCACTCAGTGTTTACTTCAATGTCCACTCTTACATTGACGCCCTCTCTATCCCAGATATTGAGCACTTTTACCCATAAATATAGCATATCTTAAAACTATATTTTTTATCATATCATTATATACATAATACCCCATGGGACAGTGCAACTTGCAGTTTCATAGCATGAAACTCCAAATTGTATTGTCAGTGGAGGGTATTATATATATTTACTAATATATACTTAATAGCTCTTTTATTTAGCATTGAGTACTGTTTTTTTCTGGCATAAAAGGATATATATATATATATATATATATATATATATATATATATATATATATATATGGTGAAATTCATGCTATAATTGAAGTATATTCTGAAAACTTTACAAACATTGGTTAATACCAATTTTATTTAGAGGAAATGGTGACTAACATAATAAAATCTGATGTAATGTATTTATTGTTATTTTAATGGGTCATGTATTAAACACTTAGATTTTTTTTTTTTTTTTTACACTCCTGTGTCTTAGTTAAATATATTTTCTTTTTAGCAACAAATGCTGCTAACTAATAATGTAGCATATTTTATGCTATATAAACTTGCAAAAAAAAATCTTTGTCTAGTTGAGGTAGTTTGAAGCACCAATTTTCAAAAGCAAAATGCCACCACTATGTATTACATGACTTTACGCTGAAATAGTTGAGCAGGTATTGTACATTGCCATTCATATTTTTATTCAAGACAATTACCGATCGGATATTGTTTGTATTTTTTTTTTTTTTTTTTGTTTATGAAACATTTCAGCCTTATCAAAATATTATGTTGAGAACACCAATATTTTCCCTTAAAAACATTTGTCTTAAAAAAAAATCTAGACTTACATGTAAGTATGTCTAATACTCACTTTTTGCTGAATATCAAATCTATATGAAATGGCTCAATTGTTTTATCTAGCATAAATTTGACAATTTTTTAGATAAACCAACAAGCTCATCTTTGCTTACAATGTTTTCTCTTAATCATAGAAAATGGAATGTGATCAATCTACCCCCATTAATTGAATAAAGGGTTCAGTTTAAAATTCCAAGAAGGTTTGTCTATAACAACAGACATCTGAAGAAAGCTGGAGAATAACAACCAAGATGAACATGGTGGTCCAAATAGCAAGGAATAGAGAATAACACCAACTCTTATGAGAAATTATACTGTTTTTCCCAGCTTTAAAATGATGGAGTGTCATTAAATACTTGTGATGCATTTCCAAAAACCACTATATCACACTTGGCAATATCTTCCAAATACAAGTGCTGACATGATTTAATTGTTCCCTTCAATTATTTTCCATCGTCATTGTTCTTATTTGGTGCACCAGACTTATTTTAGAAATAATTTATGCAAAAACTTATTTCAACTGACCCTTGACTCTTCAAGTCAAGGGTCAGTTGTTATTGATTTTTCTTATCATAATCTTCACTTCCTTCTACTTCCATATCATGCATCTCATTCAATAAGTCTTTACCTTGAATAGCTCTTTAGCCTTGTATTGAGTGAACTTTAGTTTAAAAAAAAAAAAATTCTATGGCACAATTTTGTTTCAGGAATCGAAAATTTTCTGCTTATTTTAGAAGTTGAAACATTTCTGGTCGGTGCTTGTATTTGGTACACACAAGTGAAAAGCAGAAATTCTGATGAATTTCTTTCTTTTTAGATGGAAATTCAGAAACTGGTTGAAGAAGGGATTTCTGAAAATGACTCCTGAATTTCTTTAAAAAAAAAAAATTAAAGAAATTGAGTATTTCCTTAGAATTCTTGATTGTTAACACAATATCCTTGTTTGTTTGTCTAGGAAACAGATACTGACTTGGAAGATGAAGTGGATGTACTAATGAGCAGTGATATTGTCCTCACACAAATGTCAACAAAAAATATTACTTTTAATCGCATGAAAAGTGGTTGGTTATTTAAAGAAGATAAAACAGTAAGTTTTCCTTTTCTTTTTATATATATATATATACATATATATATACACATACATACATTCTAACCTATATCCTCCTTGCATCAGTTTAAACGGACATTTTCTTTTTCCTCATATATCTAAATTACAAATTTGTAAAGTTAAAATTTAACCGAAATATGTTAAAAAAAAATTTCCAAGTTTACACATGAAATCAAGAAAATACAAATTTCAACTCTTAGAGGGTAACAGGGCCAATCTACTGGCCAAAAAGTGGAATGATGAAAAAAGACAATGGTGCTGATCCATCGGCCTGATATTACAAGCCTTGGGATTAGCTGGCTGGTCTTTGTACGGATTGCTTAAATCAGATTGCTTCTTGCATTTCTTACACACATGGGCCTTTCAATGGCAGTTTCTACGATAGTTTGTGTTTTGTGATTTTATATTGATTTTTTTTTTTTTTTTCTTTTAATTATTGTGTTCCAAGTGATGGCTTCTGAAAAGAGCTGTCTTCTTAGCACTGAAACTACAAATGAGGCTCTGTTTTCAAAGGGTTATGCAAAATGGTCATAGTATATGGAAGAAAAGTATACCTCAGTTTAAACAGATTCCAGGAGGACATTGGTTTAAAGTACTAGGAACTGTGGTTTTATTCTTTTTTTTTTTTTTTTTTATAAGCAACTTTAGTCAGATTTGACTAAATTTTAAGCAATTCCTATACTCATGTCAGTTTGGATTGAGCAACTAAAAATGGTCTAAAATGAAAAAAAATATGTTAGTAAATGTGTTACACTTAGGTGGAAAGTCATTTAATGGTCAAAATGCAAAATCAATGTGGTGAGCTTAATAAGCTTGTTGGGGTGGACTGGAAAATTTACTTTAAAACCCCCCTGCTCATCTATGAAGCAACTTAGAATATTTTATACTGGCTCCAATAATTCTACCAATTCAACTTTAATTACACTGAAATGTCTTTCTTTTCTATTTATTAGACTCAAGCATAAGCAATTTAAACAACTTCAGTACTAATTCTTGGACAAAAATTAAGTGAGCTGGTCATGATGTCAAGTTGTTGATAAAAGAAAAAAATGCCTTTTATGTATAACAAAAGATTAAGAAATTACTGCAATAGTTTAGCTTTTTATTTCTTTTGCTAGGTATCAACTAGACTTAAATCTGAATTTTTCTTGGAGTGTCAGCATAAGACTTGAGAAGTTAGCAGATTCAACCAATTCTACCAGTTAATTCACATTGAAATGTCTTTCTTTTCTATTTATGAGACCAAAGCATGAACCAATTTAAGTAACTTTAGTACTAATTCTTCTACAGAAATTAAACATCCTGCATACTGGTTAATGTCATCAGTTGCTTATATATATAAAAAAAAAAAATATTGTTAATTAAATTTCAGAATTTAGGAGATGTTAGAAGTTTAGAGTTGAAGTAGACTTCAGAAGAAACCAGAAACCCAATCCTAAAGAGTAAACAAGGGATAAACCACTAATCCTATTCAAAAGATGTGGGAGGCATGTGAACCAGATGATTGTGGACCAATCTACTCCTATTGAAATGTCTTTCATTTCTATTTATTAGACCAAAGCATAAACCAATTTAAGTAACTTTAGTACTAATTCTTCTACAGAAATTAAACATCCTGCATACTGGTTAATGTCATCAGTTGTTTATATATAAAAAAAAATATTGTTAATTAAATTTCAGAATTTAGGAGATGTTAGAAGTTTAGAGTTGAAGTAGACTTCAGAAGAAACCAGAAACCCAATCCTAAAGAGTAAACAAGGGATAAACCACTAATCCTATTCAAAAAGATGTGGGAGGCATGTGAACCAGATGATTGTGGACCAATCTACTCCTATTGAAATGTCTTTCATTTCTATTTATTAGACCAAAGCATAAACCAATTTAAGTAACTTTAGTACTAATTCTTCTACAGAAATTAAACATCCTGCATACTGGTTAATGTCATCAGTTGCTTATATATATAAAAAAAAAAAATATTGTTAATTAAATTTCAGAATTTAGGAGATGTTAGAAGTTTAGAGTTGAAGTAGACTTCAGAAGAAACCAGAAACCCAATCCTAAAGAGTAAACAAGGGATAAACCACTAATCCTATTCAAAAGATGTGGGAGGCATGTGAACCAGATGATTGTGGACCAATCTACTCCTATTGAAATGTCTTTCATTTCTATTTATTAGACCAAAGCATAAACCAATTTAAGTAACTTTAGTACTAATTCTTCTACAGAAATTAAACATCCTGCATACTGGTTAATGTCATCAGTTGCTATATATATAAAAAAAAAAATATTGTTAATTAAATTTCAGAATTTAGGAGATGTTAGAAGTTTAGAGTTGAAGTAGACTTAGAAGAAACCAGAAACCCAATCCTAAAAAAAGTAAACAAGGGATAAACCACTAATCCTATTCAAAAGATGTGGGAGGCATGTGAACCAGATGATTGTGGACCAATCTACTCCTATTGAAATGTCTTTCATTTCTATTTATTAGACCAAAGCATAAACCAATTTAAGTAACTTTAGTACTAATTCTTCTACAGAAATTAAACATCCTGCATACTGGTTAATGTCATCAGTTGCTTATATATATAAAAAAAAAAAATATTGTTAATTAAATTTCAGAATTTAGGAGATGTTAGAAGTTTAGAGTTGAAGTAGACTTCAGAAGAAACCAGAAACCCAATCCTAAAAGAGTAAACAAGGGATAAACCACTAATCCTATTCAAAAAGATGTGGGAGGCATGTGAACCAGATGATTGTGGACCAATCTACTCCTATTGAAATGTCTTTCATTTCTATTTATTAGACCAAAGCATGAACCAATTTAAGTAACTTTAGTACTAATTCTTCTACAAAAATTAAACATCAGAAATTAATGTCATCCTTGCAAAAAAAAAAATACTTTAGGAGATGTTAGAAGTTTAGAGTTGAAGTAGACTTCAGAAGAAACCAGTCATCCTAAAAGAGAAACCCAATTGAGTAAACAAGGATAAACCACTAATCCTATTCAAAAAAAAAAAACCAAATGATTGTGGACAATCTACTTAAAAATGTCTTTCATTTCTATTTATTAGGATAAACCAATTTAAGTAACTTTAGTTAGAAGTTTAGAGTCATCAAGTTATATATAAAAAAAAAATATTGATAATTAAATTTCAAAATTTAGGAAGAAACCAGAACCCAATCTTCGAAGAAACCAAAAGAAAAAAGTAAAAAATAAACCACTAATCCTATTCAAAAAGATGTGGGAGGTATGTGAACCAGATGATTGTGGACCAATCTACTCCTATTGAAATGTCTTTCATTTCTATTTATTAGACCAAAGCATAAACCAATTTAAATAACTTTAGTACTAATTCTTCTAGAAATTAAACATCCTGCATACTGGTTAATGTCATCAGTTGCTTATATATATAAAAAAAAAAAAAATATTGTTAATTAAATTTCAGAATTTAGGAGATGTTAGAAGTTTAGAGTTGAAGTAGACTTCAGAAGAAACCAGAAACCCAATCCTAAAGAGTAAACAAGGGATAAACCACTAATCCTATTCAAAAGATGTGGGAGCATGTGAACCAGATGATTGTGGACCAATCTACTCCTATTGAAATGTCTTTCATTTCTATTTATTAGACCAAAGCATAAACCAATTTAAGTAACTTTAGTACTAATTCTTCTACAGAAATTAAACATCCTGCATACTGGTTAATGTCATCAGTTGCTTATATATATAAAAAAAAAAATATTGTTAATTAAATTTCAGAATTTAGGAGATGTTAGAAGTTTAGAGTTGAAGTAGACTTCAGAAGAAACCAGAAACCCAATCCTAAAAGAGAGTAAACAAGGGATAAACCACTAATCCTATTCAAAAGATGTGGGAGGCATGTGAACCAGATGATTGTGGACCAATCTACTCCTATTGAAATGTCTTTCATTTTTCTATTTATTAGACCAAAAGCATAAACCAATTTAAGTAACTTTAGTACTAATTCTTCTACAGAAATTAAACATCCTGCATACTGGTTAATGTCATCAGTTGCTTATATATATAAAAAAAAAATATTGTTAATTAAATTTCAAAATTTAGGAGATGTTAGAAGTTTAGAGTTGAAGTAGACTTCAGAAGAAACCAGAAACCCAATCCTAAAAAAGAGTAAACAAGGGATAAACCACTAATCCTATTCAAAAGATGTGGAGCATGTGAACCAGATGATTGTGGACCAATCTACTCCTATTGAAATGTCTTTCATTTCTATTTATTAGACAAAGCATAAACCAATTTAAGTAACTTTAGTACTAATTCTTCTACAGAAATTAAACATCCTGCATACTGGTTAATGTCATCAGTTGCTTATATATATAAAAAAAAAAAATATTGTTAATTAAATTTCAGAATTTAGGAGATGTTAGAAGTTTAGAGTTGAAGTAGACTTCAGAAGAAACCAGAAACCCAATCCTAAAGAGTAAACAAGGGATAAACCACTAATCCTATTCAAAAGATGTGGGAGGCATGTGAACCAGATGATTGTGGACAATCTACTCCTATTGAAATGTCTTTCATTTCTATTTATTAGACAAAGCATAAACCAATTTAAGTAACTTTAGTACTAATTCTTCTACAGAAATTAAACATCCTGCATACTGGTTAATGTCATCAGTTGCTTATATATATAAAAAAAAAAAAATTAATTAAATTTCAGAATTTAGGAGATGTTAGAAGTTTAGAGTTGAAGTAGACTTCAGAAGAAACCAGAAACCCAATCCTAAAGAGTAAACAAGGATAAACCACTAATCCTATTCAAAAAGATGTGGGAGGCATGTGAACCAGATGATTGTGGACCAATCTACTCCTATTGAAATGTCTTTCATTTCTATTTATTAGACCAAAGCATAAACCAATTTAAGTAACTTTAGTACTAATTCTTCTACAGAAATTAAACATCCTGCATACTGGTTAATGTCATCAATTGCTTATATATAAAAAA